TTGGTTGGTTTATGTTCCTAAGCATTATTACTACGGAGCCAACCTTTAGGAGTAAATTGTGCGGTGGTAAGCCAGGCACGTCCAAAGAATTTAAAAATTCAATTGGATAGTTGGTGGCTTCATCTTCATTTGTGACGCAATCAATAGATTTGAATGAAAGCATTGTTCCAATTATTTTATTTTGAATTATGTGGTTTAGGTCATCTACATCTTTATTCTTTGCTGCTAAAATTGCCCGCTCACTCAACCATTCATTATTTTTGCTATTAGAAACAATTTCTGGAAATACATTGTTGATAAGTTCGTCTTTTGATGAGACAAAATTACAAAAATTGTTTGGAAATGATATTAATCCGCTCGATTCATCGACAGGTACTTGACCATTACCGATACTCAGCAATTGCTTCGAGAAAACTTCAGCAGATGTATCATTAAGCAATGTAACTCTCATGTTTGTTGTCAGTTGCAGTTTCTTCACATAGCGCCATAGATTTGACGATTTGAGGCAAGCGTTTATTTCGTCGGCAGCTGTAGATCTTGGAATTACTGGCAGTATTTGGCGGAAATCGCCAGACAGTAAAATCATTGCTCCTCCGAAACATCTTGAGTCATTGCGTAAATCTTTTAATGTTCGGTTAAGTGCTTCTAATGCACGTTTATGCGCCATTGTGCATTCGTCCCAGATGATGATTTTCGATACCGCTAAAACTTTGGCCATTGCTGAGTGTTTTGCAATATTACACGTTGGTTCTTCAATAGTTTGAAGATTTAACGGTAATTTGAATGCAGAATGAGCCGTACGGCATCCTTCTAACAATGTGGCTGCTATTCCAGAAGAAGCAACTGCAACCGCTATGTTTGATCTCGCCCGAACACTTGCTAAAACTAATGACATGAGGAATGTCTTGCCAGTTCCACCAGGAGCATCTAGAAAATATAAACCACCATTTTCATCATCGATTGCCTTCATTAAAGTATCATAAACTTCCTTTTGTTGGCAATTCAACAGGGGAACATTTGTTTGAACTACTAAATCTAATTCCTGGTGGTCATATTCACGTTCCCGTTCCAATTCTCGATTAAATGTGTCATTCATTTCACGACATGGTGCTGGCATGCCTAACCTGATTAATAAATTACCGCACATGAGGTAACAGATATCTTCGATCAAGAGTAAAGCACGATTGTGTACTTCCTCATTCATCTCAATATCGAAATTTCTAGAACTAACACGAATTTGATGTAAAATATCTTCTGACATATTGTCCTTGTATTTGTGCCACAGGTTACATGGATTTGATGGAAAACATGTCGAAATAATTATAGCGAATAATGTGCGTATCTGGCTTGGAGATGCAGAGATAATGGCTTCAGCGATTGTCGTATCCCAATGACTATCGTTTTCTAATAATTTCAATTCCTCACATGCAGCACGATATGTTGGAAATATTACATGATTAACAGTTCGTAGTGACTCAAATGACGTTGGCCCACGCACATTTACCAGCAACAGCCGCAAATAAAAACATTCAATATTCTTTGGATGAACTGTATACATTCGACCAAGAGCTTCAGTAGAACGCACATCTGGATACCCAGGAACCGCATTGCCTTTCTTCCGTCTTTGAAAATTCTTCGATAAAGCATTCCAAGTATAATAACGTGGCATCTCCGAGTAAAGCAAAGTTTGTGCAAACTGATCTCTTTGACAAATTGCAAAAAAACTGGTTAATGTAGTTGCTGGAGGTGTTTCAGCACGTTGCATAGCATTTGAAGCCGTAAAATATACTCGTTGACCATTCTCCAGATGCACCGCCAAATGCATAACAGTAGGATGACGTTCGTGAATGGGAAATGCGAATATACGCCAAATCGCTTCATTACAGTTCACATAACGACCAACTTGATAGCGTGAAATTTCATCGTTGTCATTCGAGGATTGCAATCCAAAAACAGCCATATCACTGCCTTTCGTGACATATTTGCAAATATATTTGATGGACTTAACTGAATTACAGTATTCAATGTTGCAATGCGTCTTGAACATTTTAGAAATGAGTGGCGAATATGGAACAATCCAACTGTTGTCAACAACGAAATCCATTCTTTTCACTTTCGTTGTGACAGTTTGACCGTTGTCATCTGGTGATCGACGACGATACAGCGGATAACCATCATTGCCAGTGACAGTCTCCGCTGTTAATTTCCGTGGATATCGTTTAGAGCACTTTCCATCGACCATGCAAGGTGATTGGGGATTGATGGCACCACACGGTCCATGAATCATATTAGAAGTAACAACATCATGTAGGTCTGGATCGACTTCATAATCAGGAATCTCGGCACATATGATATCATCTATTTGGTCAGGCTGAATTCTTTCCACTAACCAAATAAGAATGTGTGCGTGTGGCAAGCCTCGCTTTTGCCATTCGATTGAATACATCAAGCATCGAGTTTCTCCAAAGACGCGCTCTTTAACAATAAAGTTCATCAGGGACCGAATTTTTTGCCTGAATATACGTGCTGTAATGTCGTGCCTATCACTTGATGTTTGTCCGGGAAGCAGCAATTCAGTAATTTCTATCCATTTTGGGTTGCAGGTAAAAGTTATGAAAAGATCTGGTCGACCGTAATGACGAACATATGTCATTGCATCTTGTGCATATTCATGCATATGTCGTGGGCTACCAATGTATGTCGCCGGCAGAATAGTTAATCGGCCAATATTAGCTGCATTTCCTTCAGTACTAACTGCATCACGTAAATGGATGTACTCCTCAGAACGCAGTTTGGCTTGGTTGAACCTAATGAAATTTAAACGTTCCGTTTCTATTTTTACATACATGTCAACGCAATATTGCTGAAACAATCGACGAAACCGCAGCAAATAGTTGTCAGCATTATGACGAATCATCAAACAATATGCGTAATAATTCATTGAGCTAACATTCTTTGTAGTTTCTTCGCCTGAAATTTAAAATTTGAAAATTATTCATTTTATAGGCAAATTTTAAAGGCAAACAATACAGACATTGATTATTTTTTAAAAAAGCTTTATTTTAAAGCGGAGTCTTTCACAAATAAATGAAATAAATTATGATACTGATTCTCACCATTCAATGGATTTTTCATTTTAATATTAAAATAATATCCATCTTCTCCTTGCCAAAACATCAGCGGGTATTGCAATGAGTCATATGATCGATGTGTTTCAGATATTTGTTGCAGTTGCCCAGTGTCGCGACGTGAAAGCACAATATCGCGTTTTTCCAATTGTTCACCAACAATCAGGATGGCAACTTCGTCTACTATTGGAGCATTAAATGTCCTTTCGTGTGTTCCAGATGGTCGTTTATCTGCTCTGATGACAACTTTATAGTCATCGCTTGGCATGAGCTCTAAAGCACTCTTAAACAACCAGACCAACGCATGATGTTCATGAAGCAGACACTGTAAGTCTTGAAGAATTGCTCGCTTCATTCCTGCATTGATCTCTAGTCGTCGATCAAGTTGTTCTTCCCGGTTGCCCATGAAATATATTTGTAAAAATTTATTCTGTGTATCTTCAAAAGGTAGTAATGATCCAATTCGATGATGAATTTGTCCTTGTATCTACAAAATAAAAACCCGACAGTATTAACTGTGTTATAAAATCTTTTTTCGGTGGGAGAAAAAGTTAAGAATTTGCTAATAGATGAAGTAAGTTATTCTTTAACTACATTCTATATAGGTACAAAAATAAGTACCTTAAATGTCGGATTAAATCCTCGTTCTTCGATAATATCTGCTCCAAATGACGTCATTTGGAAACAACCATTGTATTTTTGAGTATTAGCAAGAAAGTGGCGTGATTCTTGTGTTTCGCCACAAAGCAATGAATACAATGGTTCAGGTGGCGGAGTCAACGATGGCAATTTGACTTTACCATTAAGGCAGCATAATCCAGGCCATCTTGGGAAAACTTCAATGCACCACAATACTTGCAAACTACGTCCATTTTGCCAATGCAGACGCTAGGATGCAAGCTATAATCATAGCTGCAATCGTATTGAAATGCTTCTCGATTCAAATTTCTTCTTCTGCATCGCAAGTTAACTATTTGTTGATCTATGTTGTTACCTCGAGCACGAAGTCGAGCCATTCTTTCGCGTTGCTGTTCACGTGCAATTCTTTCTTGTTCTTCAGTTCTTGCATTTACCGTATTTTGCAGTCTTCTTGCATTACTGCTTTGTCGGGAAAGATTCGATCGTCTTGGTCGCGGCATTATTAATGAAACTTCACTTCACCTTATTTATATATATATATATATATATATATATATATATATAAAACCAAGAACTAATATTCATTCACTAACTAATATTCAACATGAGGTAATAGAGGTTAGAAACACCGAATGACATTTGACAATCGAATGCAAATGTCATGGATGAAATCATTGATAGTATCATAGACTGAATAAACTACATGGATAGTTTATAAATAATTAATTTTAAATTAGAATGAAATAAAGGGATAAAAAGAATGTCTATGTCCTTCTCCTGACTCTAAACTACCTCCCTGCCAATTTTCATCTAAATCGGTTCAGCCGTTCGTGAGTTATAAGTGGTAGCACATAAGGCGATCCTCTTTTATATATATAGATTCTCAAATTTTACAAAAATGATTAGAGTTGTAGCATATTGTTCTAGATTTATTTTTAATATAAAAAAATAAATAAAAATAATAAAAAATTAGGTCCGCTCGAAATTTATGAATTAAATGAATCAAAATATACGATTATACGGCAATTACAAAAGGAAGTTTATAATAAAGAATTAACTAAGTTAGATATTAATCAAAACTCGTCCAACGCTTTTGAAAAATCATTGATCAAACTGAATCCGTTTGTAGGTGCGAACGATTTATTGCGAGTGGGCGGGAGACTACGGCGTGCAAATATTCCATACGATCAAATGCACCCGATAATTTTACCAGCAAAGCATCCAATAACAACAATGATTATTAGGCAAGAACATTTGCGTTTACTACATGCAGGAACCCAAACTACTCTCGCTAATATAAGACTTAAATACTGGCCGATAAATGGTAGAAGAGAGGTTAAAAAGGTTATTCATAGTTGCGTCACTTGTTATAAATTCAGAGTAACAACACAAACACAATTGATGTCCGATCTACCACTAAGCAGAATTAATCCAGTAAGACCTTTTTTAAACGTAGGAACCGACTACGCCGGCCCAATTATGCTAAAATCAAGTAGATTGCGCAAGGCTCCCTTAATCAAATCGTACATTGCGCTTTTTATTTGTTTTGTTACCAAGGCGATACATTTAGAGTTAGTAACAAGTTTGTCTACAGATGCATTCATAGCCGCTTTAAGACGTTTTATATCTCGACGAGGTCGCTGCGCCACGATTCATAGTGATAATGGTACAAATTTTGTAGGGGCAAAGCACCATTTACACGAACTTTTTAAATATTTTAAGAATGAACAAGAAAGAAACAAATTAATTGAAGCCGTATCAGTGGAGGGCATCGAATGGAAATTCATTCCAGCTCATGCTCCACACTTTGGCGGTCTTTGGGAAGGGGCTATAAAATTAGTTAAATTGCACATACGCAGAGTAATAGGCAACACAATATTAACATTTGAAGAGTATTACACATTTCTAACCCAAGTAGAAGCCATAGTAAATTCGCGTCCATTGATAGCTGTTTCCGATGACGTTACGGATTGCGGATATTTAAGCCCGGGACACTTTTTAATTAATGATGTGATAGCCTCATTTCCTGAGCCCCAATCAAAATGTAATAATGATATCTTGAAATGTTGGCAAGATGTCAATAACTTAAAACAACTACAAGGACGTAAAAAATGGTATAAAACCAACCCAAATCTTCAGAATGGAACAATAGTTTTAGTGAAAGAGGACCATATACCACCTCTCCAATGGAATATTGCAAAAGTAGTTGAGACAAAAAAGGAACCAGACGATAAAATACGAGTCGCAATAATTAAAACAGCAAAAGGGTTATATACTCGGCCTATCACAAAATTATGCCCACTTCCATTTAATATGTAAAAATAAAGAACGTAATTATAAGATTATTTCAATTTCAAATTTCAAATTATTTAGATATAACATAAGTTTTCAATTTTAATTAAAAAGCAATTAGTTGATAAGTTTTATTTCATTTGATCATAGCATTAAGGAGTAGAATAAATAAAAATGATAGTTTATTAAATTAAAGTTTTAGAAAACATTTTTAATTTTGATCATCACATAATTAATAAGTTTTATATGTTTATTAAGTTTTAATTTAAATCTTAATTTTGATCAAATATCTTAAGATCTGATATAAGCCATGATTGTTGGCGGTTGGGGCCCCAGTATGGAGCGAATTGCTGCTCCAATATTCAAAAACTGCAACAATGTACAAGCAGAAAGCTGTTCGCTTCATACAGGGCAATAAAAAATATTTACCCAAATATTAGGTATAATTTTAAGTAGTACAACTTTAAGCGTCACCAAGAAAGCACATAAAAAGTACCCGCATGACGAGCGAAAGCAGTCAAATTTCTCTTAAGTTTGTTACTATAATTAACCGCCCGACTCGCGAAACCAGTCAAAATTAAGCAAAGATAATATTATGAAATCTTACTAATAAGTGAAATAAATTATTGAATTACAAAGTGTGTTTCAATATAAACCCAAATTTACATTTATGGGAAATGTCCCAAAGTCTGTATACTATATTAATCTTTTTTGTAGGATTACACTTAGTCATTTTGAGATTTATAGGTTTTCTATAAATTTAATTAAATAATATATTTATATTTAACACGTTCACGCCGGGGCCGATTTTCGTTTGTTTTGTTATGAGGCGGCGCTGAAATGAACATCGCGCTTCATCTGGCGGCGCGTGATTATTGCCTATTCAGACCTGCATACGCCTTGTTTGTTGCTCTGCAGTACAGTGAGATCTTATTGTGCAAGTTTTGTAACTTGTGCCGTTTTTTTCATTCTGACCACAAATTTCCGACAGTAAATATAATTAGAAAGGTGATTAGAATGTTTTTTTAATTTTTACCCTTATAAAAAATGGATAACATAGATATGGAAATAAGTGATTCGGATGAATCTATAATTAGAAGCAAGAAAAGAAAAGTGGCAAGATTACGAATAGTTTCTTCCTCTTCAGACGAGGATTTTGTTAATTTTATCAATGAAGAGAACGAGTGTTCATTCAAACAATATTAGATTTTATGTTATTTTAACCGTATTTGAATTTTTTGTATAATACTGTATTATTATGTTTGTTATTGAACAAAACTTATAGTTCTGATACATTTTTGATTATAATTATTATTAAAAATAAATGTTTTTAATGACAGTTTAGTGTGGGTCACCGGTGACCCGCGCCGCCCGATGAGACAGTTTAGTGTGGGCCACCGGTGACCCGCGCCGCCCGATGAGACAGTTTAGTGTGGGTCACCGGTGACCCGCGCCGGTGCGAACGTGTTGAGACGTGTAGACCCTACGACGGTCCGAGGCGAAATTAAATTCAATCATATTATACTATTTATATTTAATAAATATATATTTAATGACTATACTATTTAATTTTATTTATATTTAATAACTATACTATTAATATTTAATAAAAATAAACTTTAATAATCTCACAAATATATTTTGTTTACTACACTTTTCACTAATTCAATCAATTCACTATTGGCAATATAAAAATACATAATATTTATGAATTTATTTAGCAGATAATAATATACAATCACCCCATAAAGGACTACTATAAAAACTAGGAAAGGCAATACCGATAAAAATTTAAATACCGGTATTTCGATATTTTCGACTTTTAAAACAGGTAAACCGGTATTAATATTTTTTTTTAAATGTGAACATAATTGAAAGTTACTTATACAAATATAAAAAAATAGACCTAATAAAATTAATATCATATAATTACATAAATTAAAATACTTTATTATAATTGCTTATGCGAGCTAAAATAAGATATTAAAAAACAAATATGATCTAACGTATCGTCGTCTAATCTCGATCTTATTATGGTATTTATATGTTGAGCAGCTGAAAAAGCTCTTTCCGACTCCGCACTTGTTGACGGTATTATTAATAAATGTTTATATGCAAATTTTAGATGTATCCCTTTAACGCCGTGTTCTTGAAAAAATTGTAGTTCTTTTTTCAGTTTTTGCCATATCCCCAGACGAGCTGGGAACTTTGGTCATTGCTTTATTTATAATGTGGCCTAATTTGTTTTTAAATGAAAGATCCGCAGTATTCACGGAGGAGAAAGATGTACTAGGCGTATCCTCATCTTCAAGATTAACATATTCGATGTCTGCATCATACCTTTATCTCCTAGGCGTTTTATTAGTGGAATTAATATTTTTGTTATAGAACCCTTTAAAATTTTTGGACTAGAATTTGTATCTGTTTCATTAAGTGAAGCGTTATGTATATATTGCAAAACTTGGGATAGGTTAGAGCATTTACTATTTCTCTGCTTATTTTACTGTTTTGCGTAATAAGCGTATCAATCATAAATTTGAACGTCGCGTCGGCCACAAGAAGATTAGCATCTTTTCTGCATAGGGCATCGACGCCTAATTTAACAGGTGGTAGTGCGTCAATAACTTCTGAAATTAAAGAATAATCTTCTTTGGAAAAAAACTATTATTAATTTCAAATCAATTAATGCCTTTTGAACACAATACCTAAATAAGCTAATAGGTAAAATCTTTCCAACATAGTGAATAAGCTATTCCATCGCGTGATGACATCCAACTGCAAATTCAATTTCTTTCCGAATTCTTGTTTTACATATTTCTGTAAATACTAATCATTTTTTGTTGGAGATCTTCTAAAAATTCTACTAACACTTCTATTTTTTTACTAGTGGGGATAAATTAGCGTAATTAAATTTTATTTCAGTGTCGACGGATCCTATACCTATACCATCATCTCCATCTGCGTTCTTTTAATTTTTTTCATTGCCAGTTTCTAGGTCATCATCATCTACATCACTATCACAATCGCTGTATAGAGAATTCGCTTGGTCTATTTTCAGTATTATCAATCATTAAACTGGGGTTGTTTTCGTAAAGGACATCCCTAACAGCTAGGTGAATGCCATGTGAAAAACATTACTGATGGTCAACTTCACTCAAATGACCGAGTTTTACCATAACTGACATTTCATTTCTTTTGTACATTTTTTACCTTAAGTTTAATTAATTTACAACTTTAATAACTACATTAATTTAAAACTAAATGAATAATAATGCCAAACAGAATTCACTACGCTCCCTTTTCTATGTTCTTGAAATATACCCCAGTAGAAATACATCTGAGCTGGAGATGATTTTAATGCAAGCTAAATATTTGAAGTGTAGCTTATATTAAATAATGTTGAGCCCACGTTCAAAACGTGCGATTAATATGAGCTGACTATGAGACGATTCATATTAGATTCACATGAATTTTCCATATTGCTAAATGTGGGATAATTATGAGCTATATATGATATGTTTTACATATGATTTTTCCATATTGCTGAATGTGGGATATATATGCTGTATATGAGAATAACAATATATGCGTTTTATATGATTTTTAGAGGGTCTTAGAATATAACACAAGCGCGGGCTTTGCCAATAGAAGTGTCAACTTAGTGAGCTATTTGAGGTTATATTTCTTTATTTATATTTCATATTACATAATATATATATATATATATATATATATATATATATATATTCTTCAATCATATTTCAATATGAATCGTAAATCGAGGTTTGCTAAATCAATGGCTATCAAGAGGCATAGAGACGCTATGCTATCGTTTGGAAAAGATAGTTCTAAACTTACGAATGACCTTCTTGGTTGCAATTCTGCCGCGAAACCCATTTGTAGTGCATCAAATTTAGAAACAAGTGCATTAGAAAAATCTGCAATTGACACAGACTTAATATATGAAAGCAGTGATAGCCGTGATAACAGTGATAACAGTGATAGCAGTGATAGCAGTGTTAATAGTGACTTTTCGGACAGTAATAATGATATTTCATTTCATGATGAGCCAAATCTACCTAATATGCCAAATATTCGACTTGATGATGAGCCAAATCCTATCAGGCAAAACATAGTTGACGAAATTCGATCATGGGCTATTAATTTCAAGGTGAATCATCAACAACTAAATCATTTGTTGCCAATTTTAAAAAAATATGGGTTAAATGACTTGCCATCATCAGCTAAAACTTTATTGAAAACACCCCAACATATACCAATATCAAAGATGATGAGTATTCGTGAAACTGAGGGACAATACGTACATTTTGGCATTGAAAAAAATATTATCAATGTTCTGGAAACAATGCCAAATGATACTTCTGTAAATAATCATATAGAGTTAATGATTAATATTGATGGTCTTCCATCACATAAAAGTACCTCCAAACAGTTTTGGCCTATATTAGGAGCCATATTTTTAAAAAATTGTAAAATAAATCCTTTTCCTATAGGTATTTTTTATGGTGATAGTAAGCCTAAGGTTGTTGGAACTTATTTAACACAATTTATATATGATATAAATCACATATATACTAATAGCATCAATTACCAAAATAAGCTTTTCACCATTAAAATTAATAAAATTTGTTGTGACGCTCCAGCAACAGCTTTTATTAAATGCATCATAGGCCATACAGGTTATTATGGTTGTGAACGGTGTGCTGAAAAAGGAGTGTATTCTAACAGAAAAGTTGTATACACTTCTTTAAATGCAGAACTAAGGACACATGATTCATTTATAAAATGCGCCAATACAAAACGCCATGCTAGTATCTCACCACTTTTGAAAATTAACGGCCTGAATATAATACATGATATTCCTTTAGATTAAATGCATATGGCATGTTTGGGAGTGATGAAGAGATTATTAAATACATGGGTAAGAAATAGGAGTCTACCATGTGCTTTAAGCCATGCATTTATATCCCTTATATCTCAAAGTCTTCAAGATATTTCCAAAACAG